TGCGCATGCGTAACCGATTAAAGCGTAAAAAGTGCGAATGTGCAACAAGCTTTTACATCCCACAAGCAATGAAGCAAATGTTTTAGCTTAAATACGCTGATTCCAAGTAGGGCATGTTTGTCCATTTTTAAATGGGGGCGAAACTATGCTATTACAAACTAATAGCATGGCTTTTCGGGAGATTAGTGATTAAATGACCCCTTACCCTCGGCAGGTTTGCGGAATTCCCTCGGGCTTCGCCCTCGGGAATTCCGCAAACCTGCCTCGGGTTACGGGGCCATTTAATCACTAATCTCCCTCAAGCCATGCTATTACTTATAAGAATATAAGAAATCCTTAGCATATAAGAATCCATCCAGCATCAATTTTGGTGATGCCTCCATATCTAAGATTTATTATCATGTTAAAGTCTACACTTCCTGTGAATTTGGTGCTTTCTTCACAAAGTGCATGATTTTCTCAAATATCTGTGCATATCCGCTGGACTGTATTGATTACACGTTTGATATAAAATCAAAATATAAATTTTCTTGGTTTAAATCTTACTTATCTTCCATTCAGAGAGATTACATGGTACTATGATCGATGGATAGGAAACTTCAGCACAATCACACTTAGCCAATTGACTCTTTCCCAAACAAGAATTTAGACATGCCTGTTAATTAAGGAAAGAAAAATAACAGGAAAGAATCGCGGATGGTGAGAGCGTATTTGCTCGGCAGAATTCATTATCAAACCCGGCAGAATTCGTTAATTGGATCTTTAAACTTTTTTAACGTTAAAGAAAGGCAGGGCTGCAAATTACTGTCGGACATCGGACAATGTCCGACTAAATTTGGCAAATGTCCGAGCAAAAGTAATTTTGATCGGACATTGGTCCGATCACATAAAAAAATTGTCACATACATTTTTTTGTTGTGACAAAATCCGATTGCAAATTCACTCAATTTGCATTTTGCAATAAAAGTTACGAGGCGTTCTGGCATTTACTTTTACAGTTTACTTAACGTTGTGCCGGAATGGCATACATGCTTGTCTTGTGACTTATATTTGTCTTGTGACTTATATATATCTTGTGACGTATATATATGTCCGACCAAATTTAGTGATGTTGGTTTTTGTCCGACTAAATTCAAGTTATGTCCGACCAAAATTAAAAGTGATCGGACAAATGTCAATTCAAATATTTATTTGCAGCCCTGAAAGGGCATGCAGGCATCGAGTCCTTGAAACAAGACAAACAACTGGATCAACAACTTTAAACTTTTTCAAACTATAGTCAATCAAGACCTCGACCTTTGAAAAATTATTTCTTTTCCCTATTAAAGCGATCATCCAGTAACATCGCCTCGTCGATTCACTCATCGGCACCGTTGTTTCTTTTATACACATGCAATAGAACTACCTCGGTATTAAACATATTGGCAAACCTGTAACGAATAGCGCGTAATGTCTTTGTGTTTCCTGTACAGATTTTCTTCACGTAGTGGAACACCCTCCTCAGAACAACTTCCATCCTCAAATCTATCCAATCTTTTGATTAATGTCTACAAACAGGAAACTCGAATTAAAAGGGCAAATCTTTCGTTTTTATAGTATCTGAACGGATGTATTCCTTTACCTTAAATTCTCATGTCATTGATAATTTATTAGCAAAACGCCTTTTTATAATTTACTTAAGTAAAGTAAGTGAAATCTTTGTTGTGAAAATAGTATTGATCGTAGCTGGAAATTGTATGGAAATCTGATTTCCATGTTAAGTTTGGATATCCAGTTTTTTATATATTCTGAAATTTTCTTCATAATTTTGCAATAAGCTGCTCTGAAAAGGCCATTTACCTGTCTACTCAAGCTTATGTGACTATTAAACTATAATTCTAGTATACACACTTTTGTTAAGCCAACGGACGTAGCCATGCCTGGAGCGACACTGAATCCTTCTTCATAAGGAAAAGGCGTGACTCCCGGTTCATGCAGCAAAACCCGCACGCCTGCTTGCTCTGTCAGTTCACCCAGATATTCGTTCTCTTCAATGTCGAGATGAAGAACCAAACCTATGCAGGAATAGTGAAGTAAATTGATCTTGCTTAGTTCTTGAAAAAGTTTTACTTGAGGTAATGAGATGTCCGCCATCATGGATACATTTTGAAATTAACGGTAGTTTTGGTGACGTCACAACAGGGATTAACCATATAAAAGTATTCGTTGCTGACCAAATATTGATTGGTAGATGTTTTAAAGGTTTTGAGCGATCTTGATATTTAGAAGGGCAGACAGAGTATAGTTTTGAGTGCAAAATGATTAGTGGTTGTCTAGATAAAAATATTGCGTAACCCCTGTTGTGACGTGACACGCACATCTACAAAAATTGAAGATGTCGGACATTTCATTCCGTTTTCGATCAAAATATTTGTAGTTGTAGAAGTGAGCAAGATATGAAAAAACGGCAAAAGAGTATTGTATATAGTCTTAAAAGTTCTTTCAAATGAGAAATAAAGAAATATATTGCCATTTCCCTTTATAATTATCTACAAAGTAATTACTGAACCTTGAGATGGTCCTGGTTTGGATGATTTTAAAATGCGAAGAGGTTGATCGTCATTATCCACGCCATCGTTGAATGTGTAGCAGTTTCCATATCTATAGTTCCAGCTCCATTTCCAAAACATCGTGAAATGTCTGCATGCAAAGAAATCAGAATATCAGAATGCTATCATTTAAAGTGCTTATGACACGAAATTTCACCCCAAATGTTTATGATTGCATTGTAAAGATCACTTAAAGTGACTTAATAATTTTTTTTTTAAATTTTTGTAACTTGCTTCCTTGGCAAGATATTCAACTTTGTTTCATATGCAAATATCACCGGTGTGACATCACATCGCATAATGACATTTTGAAAACGCAATATTTTACCTTGAAAAAATATTTTTACAAACAAATACAGAGGGTTAATTACCAGTTATAACAGTACATATACATTTAAGTTTTTTTAGATACGTATTCAACAAGAAAACTATACTTTTCTGAAAACTCATGTGATGTGATGTGATGTCACACTGGTGATATTTGCATATGAAACAAATTTGAATATCTTGAAAAGGGAGCATGTTACCAAAATTCTATAAAGGAAATTATTAAGTCATTTTAAGTGATCTTTACAATGCAACCACAAACCTTTGGGGTGAAAATTGGAGTAAAAACATGCAGTTCATGCCTGCGGATTGCGAACCTACATGAAACTCTGAGTAGCAACATACACTATTTGGAGCTTCGTGCGAGGACTGGAAAATCGCCTTTAAACCCTTGCGCTTGTTCGTCGCGATGCACTACTTCATGTAAACCTTTCATATAGTGACTCGCATGAATTTT